AAGAAGTTCTTTAACCTCTGCATTTTACTTGTCTTGAGGGATAGGTCTAAGTTCCTTTGGAAGAGGAGTCTTGTTAGTATAATTTCTGTATTAACCTTTCTAGTGTAAATCAACTGTAGGCCTCATCCTGTAGGGACTCACATGCAAGTTTATCACTGTGCACAGAGATGATACGTCATAGCCTATGCTTACTTCACCCTGAAGAACGACCTCTAGAGCATTTCTAAAAATGGTATGTATGTGATCTGTCTCCTGTTTATCTTCTGTCTACAGGGTTGTCTTCCATCTACAGGTTGCATGAATAATGCCTGGCAATGCATGAAGTTTCATGTTTAGCACCTGTCCTGTTGGTGGTTCTAGTCTTGAAGATAGTTTTGGGCCCGCACTTAGGAGACAGTATGGGCATAACCATTGTTTGACTGAACTACTTGCAGGAAGGCTGGATGCAGATATAACAATGAAAAGGAAGGAAGGAGACTCCCTAGCAGTGAAGCTTGTGATGTGCAGCACCCAACCTAAAGGATGAGAAGTACATAAGTGGAAGCTTCTTTGGGTGAACCAGTTCCAGAAAAAATAAGCACATGGAAGCACTTGATGGGTCAAGATTGTCCTTTGCTGATCCTACGTGCAGCACCATAAATCACAAGTAGTTCTAAAGATATTGTAGTGGAACAGGAGAGTAGAAATGGTGTGAGTAAACTCAGATTATTATTTGAAACCCTCCCTTGTCTCTTAAGATGCAGTTCCTGTATGCCTCTAATTATCTTTCATTTAGATGTTCTACCTTAGTTGGGGTTGATGATCTAAAGAGTGGGCTGTTAGTGTTTGTCTGTAGGAAGGACTCCCTTTTCTCTTATGCAGGGACAGACCCTAACTAGAAATTACAGCTTGCCTGAAGCGTATGCATTTTTTGTTTTTGTTCAAGTTCTTTCAAAACATCAGAGATGAAGGCTGGACCAGATACCAGAATACCTTCTTTGCACTAGCAGAGATAATTTCACATCACACTCTGCAGGAATTTGGACTTGTTCTATTTTTGGGCTTGAAACAGGAATAGCTTGAACGAGCTAGGTGATGTTTTATTTGAGACAAAGGTTTCCTTTTTCCCCAAAGGTTTTTTCAAGAGACACGGAAAGCCCAATTTAAATAATACTGCCAGAGCCAAAGCTGCATGTGTAAGCTCTGTGTCCTGCACTGAGGTTGATTAATCAACCAAGATTAATAGAAATTGGTATTTTCACTTCAAGTCCTAGAGACTTACTTTGGAAATGTATGAATTTGTAGGCTTGCAGTCTCCCTGACAGATGAATCTAGTCTTGAGGATGGTAAGTAGAGATATAACTATGGCATTGGATGCGATCATAATCATAAAAGGGAGATATTTTGAGATACAGAAATTGCAAATTCAGTCCCTGCTGTTACCAGTCCAGCCACAGGGGCCATTTAACAAAAGATCCCCGAGTTAATGATTGCTGTTCTATAGCAGGGATATTGGACTTATTATACACTGAACACAAAGGTCTCTGATCCATATTCGTGCCTTGTTTCCTGCTTGGGATTTGGCACCACATGGTGGTAACCGTCTGCTTCATGCAGGAAAGCGTTCTGCTGTGATATCAGTGAGCGATAGTATCAGAAAAACATCCATTTTCCATGAATTTAAACTATTACCGCAGTTAGGTGCAATTATTGAGAATCCCTGTAGAGTTGTACAAAAAATGTTGTCTCTGCCCAAAGATGTTGATTCTGGAATGTAGCAGTGCCAGTCTATGACATTCTTAGTTTGGGGTCTTAGCGGCTGCTATAAATTGTACCCTGGAAAATGGTTACCAGGACTATAAAGTATAGTGCTGCATTTCAAGCTCTATTTTAAGCACCAGTGGCTTTGTCAAACTATACATGTAATTTAAATCAAATTTATATGGTGAAAATACGTTGGAGATGAACCAATGGAAGACGACGACTTCATAACAAAGAATATTGACTTTGCATATTAACTTCATTAACTTAATGCTGTCTCTTGTGTATTGGAAAATTGTTCAAGTGAGAATAATAGCTTTTGAACTACTTACAGGCTAATAGGTAGTGATTGTAGTCACTAAGACTTTGAATAGCTGTGGCTGTTGATTACACAGATTAAATGCGAGTGCAGTTTTCAATATGGCTGATTTTCAAAAAACTCATTTTCTGTCCTTCCTTTTGACTTTCATGGCTAATGACACTGACTTCTAATGCATATTAAATTCCGGGAGTGGGAAATTAAATTCCTCTTCCTCCGTCTCGCAGTAGAGACACGAGTGCAGAAGCATGCCATATGCTTATTTTCAGTTGTTCAAGACTGAAGCTATATTAGTCAAATACAAGGTTGCATGAGTGTAATTCCCTTATAGCGGGACATACTCTGCTTAAGCAGCTGGTTGGTTATAGAGGTTTGTAGTATTCATGGCACTAATTTTTTCATGCACTCCATCCCTTATGTTTTTTCTCCTCATATCTGAACTGTCTGCGCGTCTCTTTGCATCCTCTGTGATTTCTCAGTGAATGCTGGTTCCCAAGTTCTTTCTCTATTCTCTCCTTTTTTTTTTCTCCAGGGCCTAATTATGAAACAGCTTCAAATAAATACAATTTTTTAACAAAAAACATTCTGCTTCCTGTGAACAATGGGCTGAATTTTTCTCTTTATTCTTGGGGAGTTCTTATTCAGTTGGAGTGCTTTGCAGTTGGCTAGGCCTGAGATTTCTGGGAGCTGTAATTGTGTCTCATTAATTCTTACAGTAATGTAGGGTAACTATAAGGAGCATGCAATTAGTGGTCTGGTCAATGAATAGAGCAGTTAATCAGCAGACAAAGGATGGGGCTCAGGACCTATTAGGCTGAAAGGAAGTGTTACTATTGTCACAGGCAGTAGGAATGCATGCAGACATGCCTTAAAGTTGAACTGTTTAAGGGAACTGTGTATGTCTTTTTGCTAACCCGTTTTCTTACCTATTCCACTACTTGAGAGAGACTCATTTAGGTTGCCTGTTGGAAGTCAGAGAACGTATCGGAGGCTTGGACAGACTGAACAGACCGCGTAGTGCATTCTCTCACCTTAACAGGGGCAGCTCCGGGGTTTATCAGAAATAAAAAGTGGCCAAAGAGACGTAAGGCATCTTTCGCTGTTCCTCCTCCTTAGAAAAATGGTGGGCGAATGGAGGAGACGGATAAAGTTTAAATCAGCCATTGTGTGGACTGTCGCTCAGTCATACTCGGCATGTTTGTCTTCATAATGAACCTTGTTTGTTCTGAATGGCTGTGCTTTCAGTGCATGTAAATGTATGCAAATACTCATAACAGTTTAAAAATCGTTGCTCTTACGGTAACAAATAACCTTTCCTACTTTCATGAAGCCCTGTCTTTTGCTATATCTAGGGTTTAAAATGCAAAAATCACTCCAACTCCAGACAGTGCTTCAGGGTTTTTTGTTAGCTCCGGATCAGAACTTCCAGTTGTTTCTGCCTTTGAAAAAATATGAACCTCATGAATCCTGTGAAATGTTATGACATACGATGATTATAAAGAAAAAGGCTTTATCAATAAAACACTGCCCTTGAGTAACTCTTATTTCTAGTAGGCATTGCTTCAAATAGAAAGTCATTTCTTCTTGTAAGTAAAACAGACACTTGGCATAAAAAAGCAGTAATTAAAAGAACTTTTTTTGGGGAAAAAAAAGGGAATTGAACTTTAATAATTAACTTACATCCAGAGCCTGGTGTTTTTCTCAAAACTGAAAGTAATTTTTTACTGTCTTCTTTGTATTAACAGGTCTGTAGCTTTATCTCTTCTCATGGTATTCACATCAGCAGCAAGTAACGTTAGAAGAATAAAGTCTGTCAGGCTTTATATTAAGGATTCAATTATTCTATATAATTAGCCCTGATTTGTTAAATATTTGAAACATTTTCTACTCTTAGGTATGGAACAGCATACTGGAATGATCAGAACCACAAATGACTTGTACCTTTACTCAGAAAATGCTTCTTATCAAATAATAAGGAAGATTAAGCCTAAGTCTCTCTCTCTCTCTCTCTGTCTGGATTTTATTCCCACAAGAAAGATCAATTTTGTCCACAATATCTTGTGTATTTCTATTCCCTTGAAATACAAAGAGGCAATGGACTCTGGTATAAATTAGGTAGATTTAATGAAATATATGACTTATAACTTGTGCCCCGAATATAAAATACTTGAGTGAGGCATAGGGTATTTTGCTGATGCCATCGCTGTCACCCATCTGTTTTTTCATTCTTCTGTGCCTGTTTTTGAAACATTTAGGGGCTGTGGAGTCTTGGGAATAACAGTTTTTGTATGCCATACATAGCAAATCTTTCCAGGGTCACATTCTCCTTTACTGTGTCTCTTTTGAGGAAACAGGGCAAACTGACCTTGCAAAATGAGAAACTGGTACTACTTCCACTCTCAGAAGCTCTGTCTTACCTCATATATGCGCTACTTATTGATTTAATTAGAAGGTGATTTCTCATCTGGTGTCAGCATCAAAAAAGCTGTTGCTCAGTATCACTGATAAGCAGTACAGGTTTAACAGAAATGACCTTTTTTTTCCTCCAGTAAAGTTTTTCCTGTTGAAACACAGGTTCAGTCATGGGGGGCTATTGATCTGGAAGGGGCCTTAAATAATTCTAGAATCACTGAAATATTCGTTGGGGAGGTAGCAGATTAATTGTGGTCGTCCATAGGAGCAGAGTGTTATGACTGGAACGGGTGTTACAGTAGAAATTATAAACACTCCTTAATACGTAAAGATTGATTAAAGGTCTTTAACCTTTTTTAAATTAACAGAATATCCATCTCTGTATCTCTCTTTCCGTAGACACGCATATATTTTTACTTAGCAATAGGAACTCGTGTTCCGCTGATGGACAGTGTAGGGTAAGGTAGATTAAACAACTCTGTTGCTGTTTTGAGAACTGCTCTTTCTCATAACGTAGTGTGAATCTTACCTGGTGTACCTGGCCTGCTGCACAAGTCTCAGCTCTGCAAGAATTTCACAACAGAAAAAGTTTATAGGTGCTAACTAAAAATGTAATATCACTGTATTTTAAAGTGCACTAGCTTTAAATAAATCCTTCTGCATGTGTCCTGTTTCTTCTTGTAGAAGATAACATTGACTGTCATAACATAAACACATGGATGTTGCTGTGTGATTTAAGGTCATTGTCTATGCTTCTTCATCTGTTGTCAGAACAGAGAGGAAATATTGCTCTCCGGCCAGTTGTCCCATTGGTTTTAACCTTTTGTTCATGAGTATTTTTATTCTTTAAGTGGCAGGTCTGACCTTGTTGAAATTGCTGCTTAGGCAGGTACTGTCACCAAATCACCCTCCCATTATGAAAGAGACCCTTGAAAATTAATTAGGAAAATACTGGTTTTTAAAAGATGGCTGAAATGAAGGGAGGTGAATACCTCCGTAGTGACAATCATTCTGTTGTACCTATTTCATGTATTATTTATACAGCATTTCTATCCTCCAGACTCATCTTCGAATCAGGGTGTGGTGCACACAACCAGTGAGTAATTTTCTCAGTCAGTTGAGGAATAAATATGTAGAGTGTACAATACTTCTGAGAGAAACAGATTACTGAAGTTCTCCTTTTTTTTACCTAAAATGGGATTTGGAAGAGTAAGCTATTTAAGTCCAAAACTGTGACTGTAAGAGTGCCTCCTTAGCTTCAGTCTAGCCCTGGAGACACCTAAGCTCCGTGAGCAGCTTTACTGTTCCATGGTGCCTGGCATGCTGGTACAGCTGAGGTCCAAACCAGCCCTGTTCTGGCAGAGCTCCTTGCCCTGCTCCTTAAGCCTGGCTGGGATCCAGGAAGCAGATGTTCTGGGCTCCGAATTACCTGGGAGAGCTGATCTGGTAAACGTTCCCAGAGCACACAATATCCATGGACAGCTTCATCTCCTCACAAAATGCAGTGACAGCTGCTACCGCTGGGAGAGAGATGGTGCAGCTCCCTTTTCTATAACATTACAGTGGCTAGATAGTCATCCAAGAAATGTCTGAGTGGGCTTGCATCCGTGTTGCGTATTGCCTTGCAGACTACCCTAGCTCCTAGAGTAGAGGCTCCTCTGAGCTAGCAAAAGAAAATAGTTCTAGTCCTTTAATGGCTTTGCATATGAAATGGTTTGTCTGGAATTTGAACCAGAATCAATTCAGTGACCCAGAAGAGAATATGGAGTATTGGTGTGTGGCATGCTCTGTGCAATTTGTCACAGCAAATAAGCTGCTGTATAGGCTACTTGCTGCAACTGTTGTGTAACATTTTCTGTATACAGTTTCTTTAGCAAGCTTGCCTGACTGTAACAAGAGCATGAATTCAAATGGCTAGGAGCAAGAAAAGGTAGTCTTTCTGATGCTGAAAGAAAATTTCTTGTGACTGCTGCTCCTCATTTTGCTGTAGTCTATACTAAAGTAGGAAATAAACTCCTTCCTGACCCATTGTTCCAGCTGCATTTGAACTGTGATGATTTGGGGCATCTACGTACAACTTAGAAATTACGGTTGACATCGTGACATTGTTGTTATATTGCAAAATATCTCTGCATATCTGCTTTTGCTCCTAAACACCTGCTGGAGGGATAATGGATGCCCATACTTAGTGAATATGTTTTGACTTGTATATAGGAGTGGTGGCACTGGGAAGATTTGTTTTCTTGCAGAGACCTAAAAAATACAGTGCAGAAAATGTCCACATTGGCAATAGCATGATGACAGATATTAATTCACAGACAGAGAGGAAAGAAACTTTTTTTTTTTTTTAAAGAATGAAATATTTAACTGAATGACCAGAGGAGAGCAGGGGAAGTGGTTTGACTACGAAGGTGCCCAATGTCCAAAAGACGAGTCCTGAAATGTATGAGAAGGATTTTGGACAGTATGAACTTCTCCCAGGGGGAAGTTCATAGTGATCAGAATTTGCCCAGAGTTGACACCCCTCCGTTTGAAACCCCTCACCGTTGGCTGCTATGCCTGCACCAACTTCAAGTTTCATGTGATTCCCCTGAGTTGCACATAACTTTCTTCCTATCCACATTTATGTCTTACTATCACAAAGTAAGAACAGCCATACAGGATCAGACTAAACATCTGTCTAGCCGGGTATCCTGTTTCTGACAGCAGCCTGGGGGAGCATATAAGAAAATGTCAAGCATGTGTCGTGGTTTAACCCCAGCCGGCAGCTCAGCCCCACACAACCGCTTGCTCACTCCCCTTCAGTGGGATGGGGGAGAGAATCAGAAGAGTAAAAGTGAGAAAACTCATGTGTGGAGATAAAGACAGTTTAATAGGGAAAGCAAAAGCCGTGCAAACAAGCAAAGCAAACCGGAATTCACTCCCTGCTTCCCATGGGCAGGCAGGTGTTCAGCCATCGCAGGGAAAGCAGGGCTTCATCACATCTAACGGTGACTTGGGAAGACAAACGCCATCACTCTGAATGTCCCTGCCCCTTCCTTCTTCTTCCCCCAGCTTTATGTGCTGAGCATGATGTCATGTGGTCTGGGATATCCCTTTGGCCAGTTGGGGTCCGCTGTCCCAGCCGTGTCCCTCCCAGCTTCTTGTGCCCCCGCCCAGCCTCCTCGCTGGTGGGGTGGGGTGAGAAGCAGGAAAGGCCTTGCCTCTGTGTAAGCCCTGCTCAGCAATAACGAAAACATCCCTGTGTTATCACACTGTTTTCAGCACAAATCCCAAACTTGGCCCCATACTAGCTACTATGAAGAAAATTAGTTCTATCCCAGGCAAAACCAGCACAGCATGTAATGATCCTTTCTTGGTGCACTCTCTTTCCTTCTACTGAATCATGGCTTTGGGAGTTCCTGAGCTAGAGATAATACTGACGTTTTTCATCCCTCCTCTCAATTCCATTAGTGGTGCAAGCCTTGGAGACTTACTTTCTATTTTGTTTAAAACCATTTTTTTATTTTCTTATGTGTGGTATCTTATGCAAGCACTCTTTCTTATGCTGAACTGTAAAGCTCACATCTTTTTTCCTGTTTAAATTCCTCATTGGGACTCTTCTTCCTTGACATCTACCAGGATAAGTTAGTTGCTAATTTATTTCTATGTACTCTGTTAGTTAGCCACTCATTAGTGTGAGGGGAAGGGTGTGGGGGTCCCTAGGGAAGCTGCTGGCTGTACCGGTTCCAGCAGGATGGCTCCATTTTAGCTGCTGTGCTAGAGAACAGGGAGGTGCTCAATCCAAGGCAAAATAATTGAAAGCTAACAGTTCTGGGAGGAGCCTTCAACTCCAGAAACGTAGCATTTCTGTGCAAGACAAATGTTGTGCAACCTGGGTCCCAGTATGACAGGAAGGAAGCCAACTGCCACTTACCCTGGTTTTGAATGATGTGGATAATCAAACAGTAAAATCATGTGTTTGGCTCCTGGTACCCAGCAAGTTGTGGCTCGTTCTTTTCTAAATCAAACCTTGTCTGAAAAGGATAAATGGTGCTATGCTGCATGCTGCTTCCCTCCCCCCTTGCAGCAGGGAGAAAATGCCGCTGTGGCAGAGCGGTGGGGTGAGCAAACACAATATCGAGCCAGGAAATGTTTATGCAGGAGCATGTGAAAACCTGAAGGAAAACGTAGATCTAAAAAAAAATCCCATACCCAACAACCACTTCCCCCTCCCTGCCAAATCTAAAGGAGTTTAAAATTACTTGGTATTTTAGTGCACATGGATTTTCATAAAATAAATTCTAGCAGTACTGTAATTCTGAGTTAGATTAGTCCTTTCCAACTTCAGTATTTGCTGCTTCTCTTGGAGAACTCAGTAAGCCAGTGTTGGTATCTGCAGGAAGAGTGGATCCGTATCCGTCGTAGCTGTAGATGTACAAGTCTCTAGGCTCCTACATTTGAAAAAATTGCCCTCACTACTAAACTGTTATAGTTGTAACATTTCTGACTACTGAAATTCTTATCTTAATATTTAGCAGGAAGGAATAAGAAGAGAGGAGGTAATCTCTAAAAACTTCCTACTAGGAAAGAAGCAAGAAATATTACTGAGTCATTCTTTGTCGCATAGTTGCTGTCTCCAGCTATGACAAAGAGTTTATAGATTTTTTCTGTTGCTACTTTTACATGCTGATAGGTTTAAGTGAAGTGATTAAGCCACTGGAACACAAAATGCAGTTTCTGTGCTCATCCCTGCTTTCTAGTCTCTGCAGGAAGGTCCTCTTCTGCTTCAGCATCTTGTCAGCTGCTTTGAATGCTCTTAATCCTACTCATATTTTGTGGTACAGGCCAGGCCAAAAATATGTCCTTATAATTCAGTCCAGGCAAATTAGGAGATATTAAGGCCCTTGTTGAAAGGGTTTGCCTTCTAGGCAAACTCATGACCTTATTGCTCAAATGTTTTGCTGTGAAAGCAATGTCTTGTTCCTCCTCTGTGTCATAGCAAAAATAGGCTGAAATCACCTGTTTTTCCATCTTCCCCTTCACTTCCAGCTCTCAGTAATTTTTGATGCTGTGCAGCTCTCTTTATGCACTTCTATTTTTCAGATCAATCCCCCCTCCTCCATCACTTTCCCCTCAAATTTAGAATCCTATTCTCATTGCCACATGGCCTCCCTGTTGCCAGCAATCTCTCGAAGTCAATCAAATGTTGCTGTTCTTGTTCTTGACAAACAGATAAAAGAATCTGGTGAGCAACCTGGCTATAACAAATGGAAAAAAGGTCTTTCTATCATAAGTAAGTTATGCCCTGCTTTTGGATTCTGCTGCTAAACTGTTGCTTGTTGAGACCAATTTTCAATGGCTTGGTCATGGGTTAATTTTACATTTTCTGGATCTGAACTACTTTTGGGTACAATAGGTTGGAGGCCACTTGTTAGAGGCCTAGCAGCAATGCTAATTATTCTGTCCTCTTTTTGGGTTTTTAGTTGTACAGGGTGACATACTGGTTAAAAAAATGTGTTCTAAATTTCAGGGATGGGATTCTTTGCTTATGCCGAGGAAACGTTCCTGTACTTTGGAACAGAAAATCTGGTAATAAGCTAGGATTTTCAGGTGAGAAATTTTCGTATGTGAAAGTTTTATTATCCTCATGGACTGGACTAATATCCTTTCAACAAAGCAGCTGCTATGCTGATGGCAAGGTCTGAGCATAATTTTATGAGTTACTATTTTTGGGAAATAAAACCATACACATTCTAACTTTTACATTAATGTCTCTGACTTAAAAATAGACAAAACCCTACTGCACTCAGATGCAGTACAGTACCCCTCCTTTTTTTCTACTTGTTTTCATTTTGATTTGTTTGAATGGAGGTGGGTATTGAGCTAGAGGACACAAACATAGACAATGCATATAAGCCAGAACTTCAGTTAGGATTACAGACTAAAATTAAAATAAAAATTAGAAGTGCATGCAGCAGTGGTTACTTGCCAGTTGGCATGTTTTCTCTGCTGGTCTGCCATTAACCTTTAAAATTATTTTTTGTAATAACGACAAAAGTAGTATTGGCCTCCAGATGTTGAATCTTTCCCTGCATTCCTGGTTTGGAAAACTTTGACTGTGCTTCCTCCTCCTCTTACTACTGCTACTTCTATTATTAATTATAGTCAAGTAGCGTTTAAGACATACTAACTACAACAAGAATACGCTGAAGAGATGGCTCTTGCGTTGGAGAACTTACCCTCTGACGCAAGAGACAACCCAAGATAAACAGATGGAAACTGCAGCGAAACTGTATTCAGTAGCACAGTGTGTGGAAGCTGAGCCTATCATTAGCATTATTGTTACTCAGGTTTTTGAAGGCCTCAAGTGAAAGGAGAGGATGAATGTAGTCTTGAAGAATAATGAAGTTGCCATATAGTTATTTACGGGGGTCTCTTGCCTCTGAGGGAGAACATTGCATAAAGCACCAATACAGTTATTTAAAAACAGAAGCGAGTAGGCATGG